TTTTCATGAAATAAAAAAATAATTTTCTTTCGAAACAAAAGCACAGCATTCCTTAGAAAAAAAATTTCACGTGTGCCAACATGCCCCACGTACGGGGTAAGATGGCACACACTGTGGGGTAAGTTGGCACAGCAAATTGTAATAGTAAATTAGGAATATGTAACAGTAAATTTAGATACTGATTATTCATAATGTTTCATTTCAAGAATATTCAGTTCCATAGAACTTAAAAATATTTTCTTAGTAAAGAAAGAAACCTTTTTTAATAAAATAAAATTAAAAACTGACTGGGTGTTATATATTAAATTGAAAATAATTGCATTTCCAGATAATAATTGCACAGAATACTTAACACCTGAGGTGAACTTAATCTAAATCATCATCTGAGTCACAGTGTGGCATGTATAAAACAGATCTTTATCAGTGGAGGCTTCGTGGGCCCACAATTTGTACATTCTACACTGTATCCATACTTCTCGTGGTTTGCTTTTGGAAAAAGGACCCATACATACCAAACACAGACTGTCTTCTTCATCTCAACTTTCCTCGTCAACATGAACACTTTTGATTTCTTTGATTGTTTCTTCTTTGCTTCTTTTGGTATTTTTTCCAGTGTCTTTTTCACTGGCGTGTCAGTCAAAAAGGCAGAGGAGCGTTTCCTCCTGTTCATTCCACTTCTCTTCCTGGGACCAGCTTTATGCAATGGCCTCAGTTCTTCGGGAGTTGGGGCTTGACACTGTGCCAATTTGCCCCATTTTTGTTGAGCCAACTTGCCCCAACCATACGAATGTTCATAAATAAATGGTTTTAGTATATATTAATAAACCTAATATAAACTGTTTCATGGGTAAACAATCCTTAAACCCTAAGTTAAATTATGGCTAAATTGGATATTTCTCATCTATAACCCCATATATGTCACAGCAAATAATATAAGCGAATGATGATTTACTTACCGGCATCAAAATCCAAATTTTCCCCACTCCAGTTAAGTACTGCAACCTCTTGGTATGGTAGCTTGTTGGTGAGTGAGGAAGCTCGTGGTGATCCTATAATGTAAATAACAACGCCGTCTAGGGATAAATATTTGAATTATTACAAGTGTGTCAACTTACCCCTGTTACCAACTAGCCCCAGTCTCCCCTACGTCATGTTCACGGTGTTAAGCAATATTTTTAACAGAAAAATGTCGAGTTTATACATTCCAAGACTAATGTTGAAAATGCAGTTACCATTTTGCTTGATGACACAGCTCAGTTTACTTCTATACATAGCAGAGAATGATTTGCACGAAGAGAGTTTTAGTCTAGCACATCTAAATAGGAATCTTCCTTCCCTTCCCCATCTTTCCCCTTTTATTCCCTTACTCCTCTTCTCCACCCTGTTCAACTTTATTCCCTTTATCTCTCTCATTCTACTCACAACCTACCCTTATATAATTTATATAATTTATTCCTTAACATTCTCCAACCAGGGTGGTGTCTCCTCACTACCCTTTACCCCAGAGTTATGGTAAAACGTCTTTCTCCCTCCTCTATCTCTCCTCATTGTCATCTCTGTAATAGTATTTCCTCCCATTTTTCTCTCTCCTATCTTCCGTCTCCCTCTCTTCTCTTCAATTTTCCTCTCTTCTTCCATTTCCCTCTCTCTCTTCTCCCTCCTCCTTCTCACACTTGTCCCTGTAACAAGATACACATACTTTACCAACGGTAAAAAAGCGAATTCCACTCTATCAGCATAGCAATGAAACAAGATTTTTCTCTGTCCGTGTTGAAGAGCCCGCTTGTGGGATGAGGCTTCAAGTGTGCATAATACATGTCAGTCTATATGAGAGTGTGTTTACGAGTATATTTTATGAATGTGTACTTGACCTTATCTAGTATAGAGTTTCTTAAACAGTGGAAAATTGTTATTAGTTATCCCTGAAGAGGGACCTTTAAATTGCTTGAATTTGTTTTCCCTCTTTTTCTTTAATCTTTCAAGTTTTCGATTGCATTTTTGTTCTTAACTCAAGAACGTTTCATCCAATCGGCTTCAAATTTTCGAAAGTTGTGTACGGTAACTAGGAATAAATTCTTAGAACTGGCACATTTACGTGACCTATGACCCAAATTTTTCAACTAATTCCCGAATGGCTTGGATAACCTCTAAAAAAACAGGTCCAAAAATACGACGATGGTTGAGAGCGAAATTAAGATGCATAACTGCAACAGATTTGACAATTTTATGTGTATGATATATTTGTTCCCGTTATATCACGTTAAATAAATTTCAGTTTACCTCTTCTGAGCAGCCAGGATAGTACCTACTGAATTTCGCTTCCGTGAAGGCTAATTTGCTGATTTAGTAAAATAGTAAACAGATAATGGAGGAGGATGAAGGTGGAGAGAGATCCGGTGAATTCAAGTGTGAGCGGCCAGTAAGCCTACCGCAGTGCTCTGCAACTAAGGAATATTATGAGGATTGAGTTGTCTGATGGTTGTTCGTGTTCTTAAGTATGGCGTGGGTGAGGGGGCAAGGATAAATTGAAAGACCCTCTGAGGAATAGTGTTCTGTGGTCATAATTAGTGCTCTTTCTAGGCACTTCCTTTGGTGTGGTTCTCTTCATCAAAGATGTGAGTGTTATTTTTATTTGCAGCGAATTCATCCATATCATCACTTGCCTTACTATTTTCAACATGAGGGTGATCCACACACACACACACACACACACACACACACACACACACACACACACATATATATATATATATATATATATATATATATATATATATATATATATATTATATATATATAATATGCAATAAGGTCACAGTAAACAGGTGATTTCAGAATATGCAAAACAACCACTCTAAAGAATAGAGAAATTCCAAGCGCTTTCGTGACTACTCACATTATCAAGGAACTATGTTCCTTGATAATGTGAGTAGTCACGAAAGCGCTTGGAATTTCTCTATTCTTTCAGAGTGGTTGTTTTGCATATATATAATATATATATATATATATATATATATATATATATATATATATATATATATATATATATATATATATATATATATATATATATATATATATATATCTATATATATATATATATATATATATATATATATATATATATATATATATATATATATATATATATATATATATATTCTTCTTTCAACGTACCAGCCGTATCCCACTGAGGTGGGGTGGCCCAAAAGAAAAAACTGAAGTTTCTCCTTTTAAATTTAGTAATATATACAGGAGAAGGGGTTACTAGCCCCTTGCTCCCGGCATTTTAGTCGCCTCTTACGACACGCATGGTTTACAGAGGAAGAATTCTGTTCCACTTCCCCATGGAGATATATATATATATATATATATATATATATATATATATATATATATATATATATATATATATATATATATATATATATATATATAGGGTGTAAAAATGAACGTTGTCTGAGCCAAGCAGGTACATGGTGTCCGCGTTTCACTACGATTTTTTTGGGTCTCACATGTGAAAGAAAGCATTTTGCACCTGAGCCAAGTACTCCTCAGGGTGTACTGCATGATCACAGAGATGCCCTCATACTCCTGACCAGTCGACCAAAACATCTCATTCCACGCAGTAAGCGAGAGGGTGCACACTGTACACGTCCAAGACGTTTCGCAAGAAGACAGCCTTTCAAAGCAGCAAGGTTAGCAAAGCCCCCAACACAGTGACATGTCCAACACAATTCGTGCAGTGGGACTCGTCTTTCCTAGCAGAAGACATTTTCTGCCAACTTACCTCCGGATTTGCCCATCTCGCTTCCGCTTGAGGACACCAACGCCATCAAGCTCCCTTTATGTCAATAGTATTTCTGGTAGGGTAATAATACTTCTTCGGAGGCGTGCTTTAGTTTTATAGGGGTTCTGGCACAGGCAGATTGTTCTAGGCTTGCCCTAGCCGGCCGACTGGCCCGACAGGAGAGACAGAAAGAAGCAGGTTGTCTCTAGGCTCTGTCAGCAAGCAAGAGGCCCCTTTAACATTAAATTAAGCGGGTCACAATTTGATAGTCACGGAACTCTAACCAACTCCTCAACAATGTATTAACTATTTGCTCTACGGACGATAAACAAATAACTGCGCTATAGACGATAAGCAAAGAACTGCGCTACAGACGATAAGCAAAGAACTGCGCTATTTGTAACAACGCAAAATATAATTCCTCCACCTTTCATTGAGGTAATGTTTTTAAGAAAGAAAATACCCGGAAAGATATGAACCCGAGTTTAAAAGATACTTTTGCAAAGGCATTTGCATACAGGAAAGGGAAGGAAACAAATGGAAGTTGAAAAGGCAGAGGAGTGACAGGAAAGTTAGGAAATCTTTCAGTCTCAGGGTTGTGAACAAGTGGAACAACGTGGATGAGTAAATATTGGATGTAAATCCATATATAGTGTCTAGAGTAAGTGTAACTTAACCCAAGATAATAGGAACCATGAAAGTTGGCGGTCAGTATACACATACACACACACACACACACACACACACGCACACACATACACACACACACACACATACACACACACACACACATACACATACAGGAGAGATAGGGGGGACTTGATAACGACATACAAAATACTGAGAGGAATTGACAAGGTGGACAAAGACAGGATGTTCCAGAGATGGGACACAGCAATAAGGGGACACAGTTGGAAGTGGAAGACACAGATGAATCACAGGGATGTTAGGAAGTATTTCTTCAGCCACAGAGTAGTCAAGAAGTGGAATAGTTTGGGAAGCGATGTAGTGGAGGCAGGATCCATACATAGCTTTAAGCAGAGGTATGATAAAGCTCACGGTTCAGGGAGAGTGACCTAGTAGCGACCAGTGAAGAGGCGGGGCCAGGAGCTTGGACTCGACCCCTGCAACCTTAACTAGGTGAGTACAACTAGGTGAGTACACACACACAAACTAAACACATTAAGCTAATTAATTGACGCAGACTCACCCTCGTAGTGTCAAGTGTTTAGCTTCGTTGTGTGTTCAACCAGGCTATTGTGTATTCAACCAGGCTCTTATATTACAAGCGCACGCTGAAAAGACACAAAATACATATACATTACTGTTTATAATAAACCAAAAAAAATGCAATATCTATATAAATATATAATCTAAGAAATATTAATATTATAATAACTTGGGCACATATCAAACACAATGCAACGAAAAAACATAAAAAAAAAAACTTTGAAACAAAGATGATTCTAGTCACAACCTGTCCGGGACCTTATTAGTGAAGCACACCTGGTATATATTCCAGATTATTATTATTATTATTATTATTATTATTATTATTATTATAATAGGGAAGTGCTAAACCCGTAGGATTATACGGCGCTGTGGGGGGAGGGGATGGAAGATATTCAGGCTTAATTTAGGGAACTGGAGCAGATACAATTCCCTAGATTAAGAGCCCCTCACCAGCGTCAAGGAACCTTCCTTGAGGGTTATATATATCAGAGAGAAAGAGAAAGAGTGTCGGTTAATTCACTCGGACACTGATAAGTCTAACTTTGAAACGTTCTGAGGTTTATTCAAGTGGAACGCAAAACTTTCCCAGTGATAAGAATGAGAATTGCAGTCACCCCTTGGAGAGAGCCAGTTCACCCCAACTTAGCCTACTCAACCCAGTAAGTACTGCCTGACGAAGCCTGCCTCATTCAGCACGGCTTTAAACTAACCTAAGCGACTCATCCCAACAAAGCTTTACCTAGCTTAAGAACCCAACCCAGCGCAATGTAGCAGAGCAAATCTAGAAAAGTCTAGCCACTTCACAAATAACCTGCATTTAAGAGAACAAATTTAAGGGAGGAAAATCAGGGAAGGCCATCACAAGACAGCCTAGCAAACCCAGGACAGCATAGCTATCCCAGGACACTAACAAACCCATGTCAACCTAACCACCCCTAGACAGTCTAGTTACCCTAGGGCAACCTAGCAAATCCACGATAGTCCACCCACCCAAGTTAACCTAGCAAATCGAAGACAACAGAAATGTCAGGCTGTCCTAGCCACCCCAGGGTAGTCTGTTTACCTTAAGACAGCCTAACACTCCCACCATAATCTAGCCACCCAGGAAAGCCTAGCAAATTGAGGACAGCCTAGTAAAGTCAGGCATCTTAGCCACCCATGGACTGTTCAGCAAACCCAGGACAACGTAGTAAACCCAGGTCAACTAGGCAAACCAAGTACAGCTTGAGAAACCCAGGGTACCCTAACAAAGTTAGAATTGCCTAACTACCCCAGGACGGCCTATTCGCCCTTCGACAGCCTGACCTAGCAAATCCAGCACAGCCTAACATAGCAAGCAAATACCATCTGAAATATCGCTCCAGCAGTGCCACAACACAGCACTAACATACTGTGGATGCTGCTTACGAAAACAGGCGTTAGTCACACTACTAATGAAGGCAAACGTTACCAACATACTAGACAATCTCTAGTCTGCTTCAGTACATACGATTTTACCTATTTTAAATGTGTACAATGACAGTAGCAATAAACGCATGTTTGTTATAGGCAGGTATTGGTAACAAAATATACAGATTTGATGTGATCTTTAAGTGCTCATAATATATGCGGTCCCTTAGGACCATTCTAAAAAATGAATATGTACGCAAAGCATAAATAATTTATCAGGATAAACCTTGAAAAAAAAATTTGCGAGTTTCGAGTTTATTAGAGTTCACTTTCTCTTTCTTTCTCAACTATGAAATCAGTATTTCTAGCCTAGTCCATAATCAGCCTTTTCAAACTAACCTAATTTTTGTTAGTTTTGCTAAAGAAAAAAAAAAGTCCCCAGGCGAAAAGCAAGTACGACACTTTCGTCCGACTGTAAACAAAAACATCCTCCAGCAGGGATGCGCAGCGCATCCAGACGTAAAAACAATATTACATACCTAAATCTCAACCGAAGTAATATTATGGATATTAGATGGATGTGTATGTACAAAGGATGTGGATGTGATGAAGACCCTGAAGGTCCCCCCGTCATAATTACACTTCCCGGGTAAGGAGGGAAGATGTTATCATGCGAGAGACACGACAGCTGTCATGCGAGGTATGATAGCTGGTAGCAGAGGATGACGATAAGGCAAAGGTCATAATATCCAGTGTTGCTTTATCTCCTCTATCTGCGCCGTCACTGAAAGTTAAGCTTACCGAAGACAGGACTTCTTACTGGGTGAAAAACTAAGCATGCTCAAGAAAGAGCTAGCTTACTGGATATAAAATTAAGCTAGTTGAAGAAGGAACTTATTTTTGAAAGATAAATGAAGCTTGCCGGAGAAATAATTTCTATTTTTGGGTGAACATCTAAACGAGATGAAGAAAGAACTTAATGGACGAGGAACTAAGCGTTCTGAAGAAACAATTCTCATTGGATGAAAAAAAAAAAACTGACGTATTTAGGTTGCTCTGCGAGCCCAGGAAGGTGCCCCCGTATTGCACAGTGCCAGTCCTTTGAGTCTCAAGGGATTGAAACAGTGCAGAGTGCATCATAAGTTGATAATGAAGTTAAATATTAGTTGTTAGGTAAGACACATATGCAACAGTTAGGTATCTTTATTTTGAAACGTTTCGCCTACACAGTAGGCTTCTTCAGTCGAGTACAGAAAAGTTGATAGAAGCAGAAGATACTTGAAGACGATGTAATCAGTCCATCACCCTTAAAGTTTTGAGGTGGTCAGTCCCTCAGTCTGGAGAAGAGCATTGTTCCATAGAATGAAACAATATGGAGATGAAGTGACAGGATGTCACTTCATCTCCATATTGTTTCATTCTATGGAACAATGCTCTTCTCCAGACTGAGGGACTGACCACCTCAAAACTTTAAGGGTGATGGACTGATTACATCGTCTTCAAGTATCTTCTGCTTCTATCAACTTTTCTGTACTCGACTGAAGAAGCCTACTGTGTAGGCGAAACGTTTCAAAATAAAGATACCTAACTGTTGCATATGTGTCTTACCTAACAACCTGTCGGTATTTTATACCATTTTAATGTTAAATATTAGTGTTGAAGATTTGAAGGGAATCATAAGAGGCATTCACAAGTCATCATATGGAATTAATATCTGAGTTTCTTCAATGAAAATTGAAAATTAGGGCAAATGCTGTCCAAATTTAATTCAAACCTTTCAAAGAGATCAATATCGTAAAATACATGAACATATTAAGCTTGAAGCCACTCAGAAATTGCATTACCATTTTATGAGCACGGAAGACTTAAGCTCATGAGATGCGGCAATCAGAAATTAACGCATGGAAAGCAGTATTTCAATTTTTCCAGTTTCTTCGAAAACAAGTGAATTGGTACCTACGCAGAATAAAATCAATCAAAACATTTAGCTCACAAAGACTGCTCACCTTTTAAGAAAGTCGTATGTAACCCTAGTAGTGTACATGGCATACAAATGCTTAAGAACGGTCTTGGGGGCACACATATGTTAGAGACACATAAAAGAACAATAATTTGATTTAACCCAGGATAACAAAAATAAAGTCAAACACTGTGACTTATTTCTGATCAGAAGGGCCATTCTCCAATATTTTCACATAAACCAATTTGATTAATAAAACTGGCATGTGATAACCCAGACAAACTAACATCAAGAGATTGTTTTACCCTCGAGGACAATACTTCAGCACTAAACGCTTAAAGCCGATCAGAAGTTGTATTTTCCAGTTATTACACAGAATCCGTCAAAATTTGTACCTGCACAGTCTTAACCCTTGAGAGTTCCATCTGCTTCGTACGATGCATCAGACATTCAAGGTTGATGTTCACAATTGCTGTACTTTTAATCAGAGGAAAGCGCTAAACCCGAAGGGATCATACAATACCTGTGGAAAGGGAACCATTAAAATTCGATTCAAGCTAAAGGGAAGATAAACTCAGTTTCTTGGATCAAGAGCCCCTCACCAACATCATGGGAAATTAATAAAGCAAAAAAGGGTAAAAATAACACTCTGGTATTTAGAGTTGAAAAGTGACCAAATGACAGATCAGAGGAGCTTTTCTCCAGTAATTCAACGGAAATGAATATATGGGAATGGTCTATGTAGCAGTGTGGGTATGGTAACCCAGCCCTTCAAATTTGCCCAAGAGACGTTACACAGACGTTAAAATTTTGAAGCCGATCAAAAATTTGTGATAAAGCAAACGAAAATGTTAAAAAAAAAATAGGAACAAAATCTACGTTAAACTTAAAAACGCCATAAATCCAAGCTTACACCCATGGTGTTCCGTCTTGTAATATAACAACTACGATCTTCCTCTCCCCTGAGAGACTCTAGTGTGTTTGACACGCTCATATCTTATCATTTATTGTTCCTGCGTTATAGTGTGTAACCTTTTATTAACCTTCCAAATAAACCACGAGGAAAAAAATAAGACAGACACTTAGCAAGGCAAGAATTTATTGACCGAGCTGCAAAGTTCACTTCTATTTTTACCTTCATTTTTCCACAGCTTGCCTGGGATTCCAAATATAATTATGGTTTTACGATCTTCTACACTATGGCAGTCATTCATTACTGCTTAACATTAGGGGGAAAATGCGACTTAAAATCACAGCAGTTAAAATTAACTCAATCATGAGCTTTGGTGTCCTGTAGCTGGGTTGGTGGCGCACTCACCTCACATACACTGAGTAGTCCGGGGGTCGTTCCCCGGTACGGGTAGAAACACTGGGCGTTGTTTCTTTAAGACACCTGCTGTCTCTGTTCGCCTAGCAGCAAGTAGGTACCTGGGTGTTAGTCGACCGGTGGGGGTTGCATCCTGGGGACAAAATTAACCTAAGGTTCCCGAAATGCTCTGCATCACAAGGAGCTTTTTATATAGTGTCATTGATGTCAGCTATGGTCTGTATAAGTTGTATCATGTCCTTGTAGAAATAAAGATTAATATTATTAATACTTCTATTATTATTATTATTTGATTATTATAGCAGTTAGGGGTTAGGAGGGCGATTTGAAGGAGACATCTGTTCCCCATATGTTTTAAGCTTAGCTGTTCTGAAAAGAATAAGAAA